GAGGGCAGTGTCACTGGCCCTCATATGTGGGATCCGAACCGGGGCCCTCTGGCATCCCAAGCGAGTTCTTAACCATCGCACCACTCAGCCGGCCCACTTTTTTTCCTTTTTAATAGACTTTTAAAGAGCAGTTTTAGGTCCATAGCAAAACCGAGCAGAAAGAGTTCCCGTATGCCCTCTGCCCCCGCATCACACACACACAACCTTTCTCACCATCAACATCTCATCCCAGCCCTTTTTCTTTTAATTGAGGTATATTTTCATATTGTGAAATATAAGCTCTTAAGTGCATAGTTTAGTGCTAACAAATACGCGTGCCCTGGTGCCCACACTCCTACCCAAGAAGATTTTCATCCTCCTAGAAAGTTCCCTTGTGCTTTCTCCCTGTCAGTCCCCTTCCCTCCAGAGCAATGAGTCTTGTGATTTAACGTAATACCATCGTTGGAGCAGTGGTCTTCCCCTTGGTAGATAGATGTACTGTCATGAATGTAAATCGTTGTGTGGCCAGGCCCGTGTGTGTTGCAAATCAGTTAGCGCTGTCTGAAATAGTAGACAAAGGGAAAAGTAATTGGACTGCTAGGAAATTTCCTTTTGCTCATTTGATGATTATGGTAGGCTAATAATATATCAGAGCTACTAGTGGAAATAGTTTTTTAAATTAAGAAACAATTGCATGCTTTTGTGGATTGTCTAGGTAACTATCTTCCACATTTACTGAGGGGCTCTAATTTTAATCCCATATTCTGTATTCTAAATTGAGATGTCCCATGTATATTTCTCACTCACTTTATTCATAGAATTCACTTAACGAAGTTGACCCTGGTGATTGGCAGAAATTTGTGAAGACTGGACTCAAGTAAGTCGATTTTATTTTCTTGGTGCCGTTCAGTAAAGGAGCAGATCTCACTGATGTCGCAGAGCCAGTTGTATGTGGGGGGCAGGTGGCGTTTTGTTTTAGAAATACAAGATGTGTAATGGTAGGAGAGGTTAAATCATTTCCCCATTGACATGCAGTGTGCTTCTGGAAATGATGAGAAGCAACCTTTAAAACATGAAATATTTTTTAAAAAACAGAAATATGCAGAGACTAATACAGCAGCGCTGTATTATACTGTATTATACAGCGCTGTATAATACAGCAGATTTTGTAAATGCTGCCAGTTTTCTGTATTTGTCCTAATTTATTATTTTTGCTCCCTTGCCTGAAAGTGTCATGTACATCTGAGGTTGAGCTTTGTCATGGCCGTGTATGCTTTGGTACTTCTGTTGTGTGTCTGCAAACAAAATAGCATTGTTTAGTGTGTTTAACATTTTACACAAATGTATTGTTCTTTATGTGTCCTTTGGCACACAAACTTGAGTTACCCGTGTGGACACATGTAGATCTAAGTCATCATTTTTAATGCTGTGGGGAATTCTAGCTCGGGACTGTACCACGGCTGATGTATTTAGCCAGCCCCCTGCTGATAGACATCTCCCTTTCTTCTTTTCTTCCTACCCCCTTCCCTTACTCCCTCATTCCTGCGGTGACTGTTACATGTCCCTTAGGTGCCCGTGGGCCAGAGTTTCTCAGGGAGGGGGCACTTGCTGGCTTGTAGTGTCGGCACTGAAGAGGTTACTATACCTTCAGTTTGCTTCCCAAGATTTTTGAGCTAATCCAACATGGTATGAAAGTTCATTTTTTTCCTCATACCCTGCATTCTAAATCGGTATGGTCAGACTCTTGTTTTTGGCAATCAGGTAGTCATGAAATGATGTTTCATTGCACCTGTAATTTTCGTTTGACCGATTATCCATCAACTTGAAACAGAAAAATTTCCCCAAGAGGAGAGAAAGAAGTGAAAGTGGGTCACAGATTAATGGTAATTGTGGATTACCGTCATGAGATGGTGACATTTCTTTCAATCTTTGGTTAATTTGTATTTCTGGAATGGCTACAATATTCTAAGTAACTCTTAACATTATTCACATACGACTAAAACAAAATTTATTTTTCTAGAGTCTGATACTTTCCTTCCTTTAGTGAGTTCTGAAGGGATTTCAGACAGAGAAGGCTTCTGAACCATTTGATGGGAGTGTCGAGTAGCTGAATGGAAGGAGGGAGGCTGGCTGACCTGGCAGGGTGGGCTGGGGGCAGTGAATGTCAGTTCAGGCTCAGCTGTTCCGCTGCCTCCTGGCATTTCAGCCAAACAGGAAGTGTGTGTGCAGTGTTTGCACCGTCACATAAATAAATACACTGCACTGCCTCCCTTGTTTTCAGAAGCGCTCCCTGTGCTGGGCGACAGCTAGGTATGTGGGAAAGCAAGTGTAACGCTGTGGCAACAGTAGAACTGAGGTGGGCCTAGCACTGTGAAACTCTCAGCTTGGTGGTATGTAGAAAGATTTTCTTAATAAAAGGCCAAGAACATGTTTTTTCATTGTTTCCTGTGAAATAAAATTCCCTTTTGTGAAGCTTTTCCCCCTTTGATTGTTGCCTCCTAGATTTCGGTACCAGGACCCCGTGTTCCTGAAGGCCCTCCATGTGGCCCTGCAGCTCCTGTATCTTCCAGAAAGCTCCGTGCGCACCAAGCTCATCCATCTCCCGGTGGTCCACGTGATGCTCACCCAGCACTCGCTGTTCCTGCCAACCCTGCTCGGGTCTGAGGACGAGGAAAACCCAGACAGTCAAGTGAAAGGTGACCCTCACCCCCACCCCCCGTTCCCGATCCAGACGTTACTTCCTGATTGCAGCGAGCGTGCGGTGTACTGAGGCCTTGCACCCCCTCTTTTCAGAGCTAAGGAAGCATTACCAAACGGTATTAGAATGTTCTGTTTCTGTCAAAGCCAAGCCCCCGGAACGTTTCCTCTGACTTAGGGTCAAACAGCAAAGGCAGACCTCATCTCAAAGCTCGTTGCCGCTCATGGACATCGTGTTTATGGCCTCACGGCCGTATCATGGGCAAACGTTAAAAGCTGAGAGTTCGGGGGAGTCGGGAGGGGTGTCTGACAGGAGAGAAGTTGTTCAGTTGCCTGAAATGTCTTAATGGGAAGATTGAAACTTTTGTCAGGGGCAAAGGGTTCGGACATCCCTGTTGACAGTTCCCTGCGAGGGAACCCTGAAAGTCCAGGTTTGGGCTCCATCCCCGGCTCTTTAAGCGTTTCCTTGAGCGCCTGTGATCCCAAGTTTGGTGTAGGCTGTGGAGACATCGGAGGAGGTGGTCTGAAAAGTCCTGCCCTCTTGAAGCCACACCCTGTTTGAGACAAAATTAACATCCCCCTAACCCATTAGAAATCACCCCAAAGTCGGGCCGTAATGAAGTGTGAAACTGAAGAGAACCCTTACCCAAGCTACTGGTGTGGATAGTAGAAAAAGTAAAAAGGCTCCAGCCTTCTACTTAGGGGGAATAGAAATCTTAGCGATTTGGATAATATAGTCATGGGGAAATGATTAGGTTTTAAAATCTCTGGTGACTTAAAATTTGCAGGGGGAGTGGGGAGAGGGTGCCTTGTCGGAGAGCTAGGAAGAGGGACGACTGTGAAGACGTGTTTGTTATTTATTTGAAAAAAGGAGAAAGTGGTGAAGGGACAAGGTGCAGCCCTGAGGCCACTATGGCTCAGAGAAGGCTGTTCAAGCATCTCAGTGTCCCCGACATGCGTCCTCCTGGGCTATGATCCCAAATGTGCTCATCCCCCCGCAGTGCCATGTGGTTCAGTGTCGTTTTCTTCCAGAGGCGCTGGTGGACCTGATGGCGGTGGTGGTGAGGCTGTGCCCCTCTGTCTGTGAGAGCAGCCACTTTGCCGCGCTCCTCGGGGCCTATGGTGCCACTCTCAGCATCGTGGGTGAGGATGTGACCAGGGCGTGTGTGGGGACCAAGCGGGTGGTGGGACCAGGGCGTGTGTGGGGACTGGACAGGTGGTGTGACCAGGGCGTGTGTGGGGACCGGATGGTGTGACCAGGGCGTGTGTGGGGACCGGATGGTGTGATGGGGCGGGAGGAATGTGTGAGGGGTTCAGCTTTCTAAACTGACCTTCACCTGCCTTCCAGACCAGAAGATTTTACTCCTCCTGCGGGCTTATGAACAGAACCGCCTAAGCCTCATCGACTTCAGGTGAGCGCTGGGCCTATAGGTGGGAGCTGCAGGCTTGGGAGGCGCAGGGCCTGAGCCGGGCTCACTCCACACGGCAGGCTCCCAAGATGTCCTCTCGTTCCTTACGATTCTCAGGAAAGGGACGGGATGGGTGGGGCTCCCTCAGCTCACAGGCGGCTCCAGCACAGGCAGCTTGGCCTCCCCATGAGGTTGTGTGGCCGGGGCCACCTCGGCTGGGCCACCCTGCTGGTTGACGCATGCGTGTCTGTCATGGACCTGCCCTCACACTCACTCCGGAGCGGAGTGTCTAGTTCAGTTGAGTTTTCTGAAGCCCTTTTACTTCAGATGGAATGACTTGTGATGTGGGGGTTTGCGGGGGAGAGGGAGCAGTGCCGACTACGTGTTAATTCCACGCTCCCGTATCTGTGTGTGCTGTGTGTGTGGCTGTATTTGTCTCTTTCCTCTGTGTCTCTTTCTGGGTCTCCCTTGTCCGCCTCTCTTTCTCTGACTGTCTGTCCTTGGTTCCCAGGGGCTGCCCGCCCCCCTCCTTGGCATCACAGCCTTGGGCCCTGAGGGCCCGAGATGGACACTTCCCATGGGCCCTGCCCAGCTCTGAGGGCCCGGCTAAGAGGGGGCTCGACCAAATGTGCTGTTCATGGAAAGCATCTTAGGTTCTCTGCGCCGCCCCCATTTCTTCTTTTCTCCTTATCATTTGGGACCAGCACCCTAACATCTGCCTGATACATACATGCAGAAGAATTTCATGTGTTAAGGCAGGAAGGGAGCTTAACTGGGCCAAGAAAAATAATTCAGCAGAACTCTGCAGGGAAGCCAAAAAATACTAACATTATAGAATACTTTGTTTTTTTAAGATAAAAGCTATATTAGTCTAGAATCCCTCAAAAAAAAAAAAAAAAGCAAAGAAAGACATTTTCTGTCTCTGACAAAGAATGCCGGGTTATGAATAAACATTCTCCATCGTTTCCCTCGGGGCCTCCCCCTCCTGCTGCTTTGGAGGCGGTGCTTTACCAGGTGTACCCTTTCTAGAACCCAACAGTCCCTGTGGGCATCAGGGAGAGGAGAGCCAATGGGAAGCGTTTCCCGAGACTCAGAATACATGTCACACCCACATCCTGACGTGAAGGAGCAGCAGGTCTGAGTTAGGGGAGCCACATGGGGAACTCTGGATGTTCAGTGGACGAGTCTCATGCCAGTGGGTGGTGCCGGTCCGAGGGGTGTGACCAGTCCATCCGCTGCCTGGCCTTTAGAGCCCGAGGCCACCAGGGATCACCCTCCTACAGAAGACTCTTTACTTTGTAACTTAGCGTGACTGTTGTTGACGTGCATAGAATGAGCTGGTTACCAGAGGAATTCCATTTAGAAGCATTTTATCCAATAGATATTTGTTGAGCACCTGCTGTTTACAAAGCGCTGGGCCCCGCTCTGATGGGAAGAAGACAGCCTTACTGTCTGTCGAGGGGATCAGACTGTCATGAATGTAACTCTTAAATTGGCTTCCAATTCATGCCACGTGGTGTAACCAGCGTTACGGTCTCATGTGATAGCATGCTCTCCCTTGGCGAGTCACGGAATGCTTCGGGACAGTGGGGAGGCATTTGATGGAGGTGAGGTTAGCAGAGGAGGAGGAGAGCCTGGGGCACCAGGTGGAGGGGACTGCGCGGTGAGGGCTGGGAGGTGGGAGCGTCAGGACATTTCCGGGAATAGTGAGTAGGTTGGTTTGTCTGCGTCACAGGATCTGTGTAGGGAAGAGGTGGTGGGAAGGTCTGACAGCTTGGTTGGTAGGACTTTCAGTACCAGACGGAAGTGTTTCCATTTCCATCCAGGAGACAGCAGAGCTGACAGGCATCTTGGGGCAGAGACACGGCCCTCATGACAGCTGGGCTTTCGGGGAGCGTCTTCCAGCAATGGGGAGGTGGATAGGGGGTATCGGGGCAAGGGGTGGGGAGGAAGAGGGAGGCCTGTGTCCTTTTCCGGGAGGAAGGCGAGGTGACCTCTGGGCAGCTGCAGTGGGGTTGGTGGCGTGAAAGGTAGAAGTGTGCGTGTGGTGGGCTCTCCAGGTGGAGACAGCTGAAGGCTGCGGGCAGACGTGGTCTGGGAAAGAAAGGTTTATTATCAGTAAAGCGTCATCCTGCAGTCAGGAGTCTGCCCCTGTGGTCTGGCATGGACTCTGGAGAGACTCCCCAAGTGGGAATTCCAGCCCTGCCACAGAGCAGCTGGGCGAGTGACCGGCTGAGCAACTTTCTTAATTCTTTCTGTGCCCCTTTCCCCCATTTGCAAAATGGGAACAATAATAATGCCTCCCTTAATGTTATGCAGATTAAGTGAATTAATATTTGTCAAGGGCTTAGAACGGTGTCTGGCACATCACAAGCTCCATACAGGTGTCGGCCTCCGTCGTCATCCCTGACACTGTCCCCGCCCTCATCGTGGTCAGCATCACCATCACGCCCACCTCCTCCCTAAGTTATGATGGGGATTAAATGGCAGTAACGTGCCCAGGACAGTGCCTGGCATGTGCCAGCTGCTCGACAAAGCAGCGGTCATGGCCATCATCATCGTCACCAGTTCTGTTCCTGGGGGGGCGCTGTGACAGTGTGCTCCCCCCTCTGCGGCTCCAGGGTGCTGCTGTGGGGGCCCGCGGCCGTGGAACATCACAAGACGTGCAGGAGCCTGGGCAAGTCGCTGTGGCAGCAGCCGAGCGTCGGAGACGTCCTCCGCCTGCTGGACCGGGACCGGATGATGAAGACCATCCTGCACTTCCCCCAGAGCCGAAGGCTGCTGCCCCCCGAGGTACGGGGGGGGGCCCAGGGCAGAGCCATCAGGGAGCTCGCACAGCGGGGCCTCCCTGCGAGGGCTCTGTTTGCACCCTCAGCTTTAGCGGACTGTAAAATACAAGTGTGGTTCTTCATGTGGTTTGGTAACTTATTCAGTAAAATTCCAGCCACATGCAAAGGTGCAGAGACAGGGCCCCCAGGTCCCCACCACCCAGCTTCAGCTGTCGGCACTTGTTTCATTTATAACTTGTTCCCCAACAATTACATTCTTTCATATGCAAGCGTTGTTTTTTACAGAACCATTTTCTTATGCTCTTGAATATTCAAAATAGTTTGAACGATAGATACAGTGGGTGAACATTCACTCACTGTAGTATTACATTTGGGAGCTTGAACCACATACACGTCTATCCGTTTTGGGCTATTTCAGGACTCTCAGGAACCAATATTCAGAGACAGGAGCACAGAGGATCTGGATGGCCTTTATGACCCCTGCTTTCTCCTCCATCTCTTCTGTGAACTGACCAGGCCAGGTAATCGCAGCCTTGGGGTGTGGGGGTGGGGGCGGAGGGGCAGTTCCTGCTGTGCAGCTGGGGTAACCAGGGCCCTCAGGAGTCAGGTTTCTCATGGTGATTATTACCTCCTGAAGGATTATCATCGCTCCCTGAGTGATCTTCAGCTGCCTTCTCACCTTTTCATTCCAGTGATTTTCAGCAAAGTAGCAGTTCATGTTTTGAATATACAGTGATTTTTTTTTTAATTCATAATTTTAAAATCTGGCAGTGTCCCTTTCTTCCTGATGTTTTTCTAATTCTTAATGACAAGAGCCTTTTCTGAATTTGCACTAGACAGGGGTCAAATATCAACAGATTTTTATCCTTGAGAATGAGTGAGAGCCTGTTGAGGTTGGCTTTTTCCGGTTTAAGTGAAAATGCATTTTGTGTCTGGAAGCCTGAGGGTAGGGGTCTGTGGGCGAATGGGTGGGGGAGAGACAGAAGGAATTCAAGTGGCTACGCATGCCCACTGGGGAACACCGAGGTCTGGTTCCCGGTGGGTCTGGTCTATCAGTTTGGGCATTTTGTCAGTGATGTGTCACGTGTGGCGATATCTCACTGCGGTTTTAATTTGCATTTTCCTAATGGCTAATGATGTTGAGCATTTTGTGGCTTATTTGCCATCTGATGTCCTCTTTGATGAAATGTCATCTCATGCTTTTGCCCATTTTCTAATGGGTCTTTTTTTTTTAGTGTTGAGTTTTGAGGGTTCTTTATGTATTCTAGATATCAGACTTTTGTTGGATATGTGGTTTGGAAATATTTTCGCCCAATCTGTAGTTTATCTTTTTATCCTCTTTAACAAGGTCTTCCGCAGAACAAACATCGTTAATTTTGATGAAGTCCAGTTTATTGATTTTTCCTTATATGGATGATGCCTGCACTAGTACTCCTGGCCGGGAGAGGCAGGAGCGCCCATTTTGCTCCGCAGGAGGCCCCCCTGTCACTGACCAGGAGCCTCCCCGTCTCTGCTAGGCCTCCTCCGATACACAGTTGGGAGGGTGGGGGCCACCCTACTGCCCAGTGGGGACAAAAGCCCCGCCTCTCGGGCCCCCTCTGAAGCTACTCCAGCAGGGGGTTTGGGGCTAAACCCCCAAATGTAGCAGGCCCAGAAGTCTAGGCTCCCCGCTCCCCCTTTGCTGGCCGAAGCTGAGGCAGGGCCACAGTTCTTCTGGGGTGTTTGGCTGGAGTAGAGCAGTTACTAAGAGTTTTCTGTCTTGCTACGCTGCCCTTTTCTAGTCCTTTGTCTTGAGCTAGAGAGAGTGGGCTTGTGTTCCGGCTTCGCCTGTGCCCGTTGGTGTTTTGGGCTTGCTGGTTTCCTCGGCTCTAAGGGTCGGACACAGGAAGCAGAAAGAAAAGGCAGGAACTCACCTGAGGCCCCTGGCTGGCCTGCTTTCTCTCCACCTTGTAGAGTCAGGTCATGTTTGTCAAGGGTTTTCAGTTGTACTTGATCGTACAAATAGAGAAACTGTGTCTACTCCGTCTTCCCAGAATTAGAAATCTAATTTAATGCATTTTTAACATTAGGTAGTATATTCACAGTTCAGAAACCAGGTGTCATCAGAGGCTGTGCGGTGAAAATCTTCCCATCTGTTCTTAAAGGCCAGTGATGACTCCCATGGGGCCTGCAAGGAAGGGCTCAGGGGGACAGGGTGTGGTCGGGAGATGGAGGTGTGTGTTCTGTGTCTCTGCTCATCTGCTGGGACAGCGTGACGCCTGAAGGGCTCCCAAGGTGCTTTCCCACTGGATTAAATGGCCGCATAGCTTTAGGTGAATTGGGAGACCATGACTCACTACTTGTCCTGTGCTCTCCCTTTTTCAACTTGAAATTGTCCTGTTCTCAAGCGTTCCTCCTTATGAACAGATTTGCTGCGCCTCAGCCACTGCCCTTAGTGCCAACCAAGAAATTAGAGGGCTGGGTTTTCAGAGAGCGCACCCATCACCAGCCCCTGTGCGCCTCCAGCTGCCCGCTCCGTGAACACTGACTGTTTTGTGGCTGAGCTAGGTTTTATTTACAAGGGAGCCGGGGCATTTCATGCACGTGTCAGATTATGCTAATGGCAAGCAGATATCTTAATTGCTCTGGTGACTCTTAGCAGCAGAATACAGGCACGTTTGGTGTGTGGCCAGGAAGCACTGCCGATTCCCCCAAGCCTTGGCCCTGCCACGAAGCCTGTTTCTCATCAAACATGAAAATAGATTTTCCACAGTCTAAAAATATGACGTGACTTCAGTGAATTAGAACAAATCATTTCGCCTGTTGCTCTGTCTCTCCAAAGAGCTTTTAGGAAACAGAGGCAAAGGTTTGGAAAACACTTAATAGAAAAATAGTAAAATCAGGACATAATGTTTTTCTCAAAATCTTGAATATTGCCTTTTTCGAGGCAGCGGGGACAGGGCCTAAAAGGCCTTTTGTGAAGAGAGGTGAGTAGTAAGTGGTCTTTCAAGGTAGGGAAATCTCCAAATACAGCCTACTTTAAGTTTTATTGGTCAAATATAGATAGAAAACATTTGCAGTGCATGTCTACTTGAAAAAGGATTTGCAGTGGCATAAAATACCAGTTACACTAAAAGCATTCACATTGAAGTAGAAAATTTAAAAAAACAAGAGGTGGATAGGGAGAAATAGAAGTATAACAATAAAAAAACAAAAACAAAATTAGGTTCATTAAACTTCGCTCTGGGCTACTTGTCATCTAGAACAAAAAATGGAAGCGTAAAGTTTTAAACAAATTTTGTTGTCTGATAAAAGGAAGCATACCAGTTTGTCGGGACAGGAAAATGCCTAGCAGTAAAACAGTAAGTTGAACACACATAAATCTGTGAGCAGCATAATGGCCGGTGTAGGCTAGGTTTATGTGGGTGAATTAAGTCATGAATCTTTTTTTTCACATTATTTTAAAAGTTATTGTTCCTTTTGCTTTTGCCCTGTAAGGGAGTATGAGCAACGTATGAAATAAATTTTTATTGAAGTGACGTATAGAAGCTTACACAAATCATGTATGTATGGCTTGAGTTTTGGTGAAACCACCCACTGGATCAAGGAACAGAACATCATCTTTAGCTCCTCGGGCCCCATCCTAGTCAGTACCCCTTCTTCCCCGGTGGAGACCAGTGTCCTATAGTTGAACTTGATGTAAATGGCATTACACACTATATATTCTTTTGTATCAGCTCCGTTTATCCCACGTTATATTTGTGAGATTCTTCCATGCTGTGTGTCACAGAAGTTTTGAGCAGTATGTTTTCACTTCCTACAGTGGCACCTGGGTCCAAGTGTTGCTAAACATTTTAGAATCCTAAATTGGGTGTATGATTAGTTTCTATATGTGGCTGCGTCTTCAGAGAAACTAGCCTCACAGCTCCATTCCCACCCTTTGCTGAAAACGGGAACCTGTTTTCTTAACCTCACTGCTTCCCCTCTTTGAGTCCTTGGCTGAGAAACAGGACCAGCCAAGGCTGTTAGCAATGGCAGTGACTAATGTTTTTTCCACAGCAAATTCTTGTCCTCAACAGAGCCGCACTGAGCTCTCCAGCTCATCATTCATTCACATGGACCCCAGAACACAGCGGCCTGTGGACAGCTCTCTGAGCCTGGTCACAGCCCACCAGCCCCATGGACTCCTCCCTGTGCTGCGCCTTCCCCAAGGCCGCCTCTGAGGAAACCGTCAGAGGAGCATAAGGAAGAGTCCTAGATGCGCCAACCACACAGTTGCTAAAGCCCATAAGATGTGGGGTGCTTTTCATTGTAATCCTTGATAATTGTCCTGGGTAACAAAGAGAATGGCATTTATAACTTTTTTAATAGCCTATTTTCAACACCCGAGGGGCAGCTCTGAAGTGTTACAAAGCCAAGACTTCATAGAATAACAGGCATGACCACAAAACATGTAATTGACTTTTCCTCAGGGACACGTGGAAAATCCATTTGTCTTAGAGAATGTCAGTGATTACTAAAAATGTCCCAGCCAGCTGAGTACTAACTATTTTTAGTGGGTGTAATATTAAATGTTTGGGCTGTTCTTTTTTCCAAATGTATCCCTTTATGTGCATTTGTTATTTTAGGCATATAGGTGTATCTTAAACACATCTCATCTTTTCCAAAAAAATATAATTTTATCCCACAGTTTGATGCTTTTTAAAGCTTTTGGGTTTTTTTCCTTCCCATTAAAAATAGTCACTTGTTAGAAATGAGAACATTTAGTCCATCAGATATTGGAGCCCAAGAGTCTTCCGATTATTCCTTTTTCATCCTTTTCTTTTAGTCTGCACCTTGATGTTAAAGTGGTTTCCTGTAGACAGATGCACTTGGATTTTGCTTTTTCAGACCTAATCTAACCATCTCTGCCTATTTTAATTGCAATGTTTACACCATTTACATTTAATGTGATTATTTGATCTGATTCTGTTTTATTTGTTTGTTTTTAGCTACCATGCAAGTGTGCATGAGTGTCTCTGTGTGTTTGTTGCTTTAGGGTTTATACTATTCATCTTCAATTTATTGCAGTTTACTTTTGAGTGAAATGATGCCACTTCATGGATAGATGCACCTTACAACAATATCTAATCCATTTCTCCTCTCCTGGCTTTCATGCTATTTTTATCATATACTTTACTTCCGTGTGCTGTAAAGCCCACAGTGTGTTGTTGTTTTTGTTTTAAGTTGTCAATTACCTTTTAAAGAGATTTAAATATCTTTATCGTATAGATACTGGTTTTGGTTCTCTTCATTCCTTTGTGTAGATCCAAATTTCTATTGTCTATCATTTTCCTTCTGCCTAAAATACTTCCTTTAAAAATTCTTGTAATTCAGATCTGTTGGTGATCAATTCTTTTAGTTTTTTTTTTTTTGGAAAAAAGTCTTTTAACTTTTGAAAGATTTTCATGGAGTATAAAATTCTAGGTTAGCAGGTTTTTTTCTTACTGTACTTTAAAAATGTTGCTGCCCTGATTCTGGATTACATTATTTCTAACAAGAAATCTACCACCATTCTTATCGTTGTTTCTTTGTACATTATGTGGCTACTTAAAAGATTTTTTTTTTTATCACTCGTTTCAAGACATTTGGTTATGGTATACCTTGGTATGTCCTATTCCTTTGTGCTTGGGTACTCATTAGGCTCCTTGGCTCTGTAGGTTTATAACTTTTGTCAACTTTGGAAAAGTTTTGGCCATATTTCTTCAAATGTTTTCAGGAACTCCAATTACACATATGTTAGCCTGCTTAAAATTGTACAACAGCTCACTAATGCTCTATTCATATTTTAAAATTCTTTTGTATCGCTATGTTTCCATTTGGATAGTTTCTGTTGCTGTCTCCAAGTTCACTAGTTTTTTTCTGCAATGTGTAATCTGCTGATAATCCCATCCAAGTGCATTTTTCATCTCCAACATTTTAATTTTTATCTGTAGAGGGTTGGTTTGGGTTTTTATATCTCGCATATCTCTACTTCACAAGCTCAGTCTTTCTGGTAGCTTCTTGAACATGTAGAATACAATTATAATAGCTGTTTTAATGTCTTTGTTTACTATTTCTGTTATCTGTGTCACATCTGGGTCATTTTCGAATAGTGGAGGTTTTTCTTCAGAATGGGCTATATTCCTGCTTGTTGAGTGTCTACTGATTTTTTTATTGGAAGCCAGACATTGTAATTTTTGCCTTGTTTGGCGCTGGATAACTTTGTATTCCTGTGAATGTCCTGGAGCTTTGGTCTAGGACACATTCGCGTTACTCGGAAATGGTTTGATCCTTCAGTCTTGCTTTTAATCTCTGTCAGGTAGGATGAACTTTGCCCCACAACTGAGGTAAAATCTTCCTGAGAAACCTACCCTATCACTGTGAACTGTGAGGATTTCGCCCTGGCTGATGGGTACGGGAACTCTTTCCAGGCAGGTGTGTGCCTGGGGACGTCTTCTCCAGGCCTTTCAGGTGGTGGTTTCCCAGCCTCAGGTAGCTTCCTCGCACACACTTGCCCACTGGTGCTCGGGAGGACTCTGCCTGGTGAACTCTGGCTGTCTTGGCCTCCTAGGTCTCCCACTCTGTCTCCTCTGCTCAGAGTTCTCCAGTCTCCATGTAGGTTTGCCCTTTCTGTGTCACAGCCTGGAAACTCGCTTGGTTGCAAGCAGAGACAGTCAGAAGCTTCACCTTGTTTCCCATCTCTCAGGGCTCACTGTCCTTTGCTGTCTTACTCATATGTCCGATGTCTTGAAAGTCCTTGTTTCATTTCTTCAGTCTATTTTTCTAGTTGCTTCAGGTGCATAGGTAAATCTGGTTCCTATCACTCCCTCTTGAGTGGAAGTGGAAATTCTAGTTATTCTTTGATAGGGTTTAAAAGTTGAGAAACACAGAGTAAGGGAACTGTATATAAGCAGCCCCACCTCTTGTTGGTCTGCCTTTGCGTGGGATGCTGGTGGAAGCTCCAATGAGCGCTGCTCCTTCTGAGAGAGAAGGAAACTTTATGGTTTAATCAGTGGCATATCACTTCATGGCAGCAATATGCCAAGATTACCCATTTGGGGTAGTCATTTTAGTTAGTTTGTATTTGGTTCCTAATTTACCTAGGTCACCAATCACTCAACCTAAAGAACATCGCCATGTGCGATTATCATGACCAGTCCTTGCTTAATCACTTTTAAACACAGCGACCTATCTCTATTCTGAGGTTTTTCTTGGCAGTATTTATCTTGTAAAAAGGCTTGGGTTTTTATTAAGGAGGATTTGAGGTGCCCTGGATTTTATTATGATAATCAAACCCTTTGCGATGTGATCAGTTGGTTCCCCTCGTATATCTGACCATCCTCTCTGGAGTGATTGCGAGTTTCTCGAGGCCTCACAGGTGACAAAGCAGGCCCGTTAGACTGTAGTTTTGCTCAAGCTGCGTGGCCTGTGTTTTGTGAGATTTTTGTTGTAAGTTTGAAGAAAGGACTAGGGTAGCAGGTGTAAGTTAATCCTTTGTAAAATTGATGGGCTGGGTGAGACTGCTTTGCACCAGCTGAATTTCCAGCTTTGCTGCCTTATGGGATTTCCCTTAGTGGTGCTCATAAGTAGGAACTCAGAGGCAGTGGGCTGACCAAGGTGGAAACAGGAGCTGGTTTTCTCTGCTGACTCCTGGTTGTGTTGCCCTGACCTCCGGGATGCTGGGAGATGCCGGGATCTCGTGTTTCAGGTCTGAATGGTGTCTCCATTCTTCTCTGGCTCATTGGGTATTTGTGAGAAGTAATGAAAAAATCCTAGATGGGATTTACAAGCATCTCAGAGGCTGAAGTAATTACTGCCACAGAAGGGAAGATAGTCTTTTATCCGACGTTAGCGGAAGTTAAAGGAACCTGGAGACTTGTATCTGTCGTATCGAGCACACGTAGCTGATATTGGTGAAATGCAAAAGGAAATTTAATTTGCCATGTCTCACAAGCATCATGGAGAGAGAGAGAGAGAGAGAGAGAGAGAGAGAGAGAGAGAGAGAGCGCTTAATGCTATATTTTATTTATTTCCTGTAGAATTTGTGGTGGATTGTCGAAAGTTCTTGGATTCAAACGCTCTGGGCCTGACTGTTGCAGCCCTCAGCAGCTATGACCCCCAGATGCGCGCCGCGGCCTACTACGTCCTGGCGGCCTACTACTCGCATGTGGAGGGGGCTCGGTTCCGGGAGCAGTCCCAGGTGAGTGGGGCTGAGGGTGGGCCTGGAGGGCTTCCAAGGCTGGCTCCCCACCTGCTCTGGTGGAAGGATTTCTGAGTTGCCAGGAGACCTCTGCTAAAGAATAAAGAACTGGTCCCTCTGTGGGATGATGCCCGAGGTTGCCTCTGGTTCTCAGCCCCCGGGGCAGTTGGGAGAAGTCTCCCCTTACAGTTCCTCTTGTGTTGTGGGTGGGCAAAGTAGTTTAATTTCTTTGGTCTAAATTTAGTGGTTAAGGCGCCTGTTGCCCAGGGCACACAGCCTCAGAAGCCTGTGTTCCCGGGTGGAAGGGACCAGAGCAGGTGGATTGACAGGGTATGGAGCCAGGGGACTCTGCCCTTGGGCGCGTGCCTGGGCATCAAGGAAAAGCAAAAAGCGCTCCTGAGAGCAAAGATGTCACTATTATGAATGGCATCTTTGGTGGCCCTGGGATGTGAGGAGCACAACACCCTGCAAAGCTGTAGTTTAGGCTGTACGAGGCAAGTCTGGTCATAGTTCTGAAAATGCTCTTTTTCTTCCCTTTTCCTTGGTTTTAAGGTACTTTACCTGTTGGATGTAGTCCGCAACGGGATCCGAACCAAGAACATGAGACTCACCTTTACTCTGACTCTCTTCATTGCCAAAGCAGCCCTGCAGATTTTGAAACCAGGTACCACTGATAGGATTAGGTTGAGGTGAGACTGAAATATTGAGGCTGAGCCAGTCCCCTCGCAGACGTTAATTCTACAGATGTAATCTGCCATATGTGTGAGAAAGGACAGATCAGAGTCCAGTGCTTGTCACACTGAAAGATTGGGAGCCACCCAGTGTCCACCAGTAATGGACAGTAAATAAATGATGGTTGTGAGGAAGTGCTTTATAGGTCTATAGGATGAAATCCAGAAAAAATTAAGTGATAAAGCAAGGTGCAGAGCAGTGTGCATTTGTGTTTGTTTGCAGGTGTAAAAAGCTGTGGTAAAAGCAAACCCTAGCACCCCCCTCGTGGGCCTGCTGTGAGCGGACGTGGGTCCTGCGAATGACAGCACGTAGAGGGTGCTTGATGCAGCGCCCTGTCAGTGCTCGCAGCCCTGACCCAGGCTCAGGAGGTCACAGTCAGCACGCTCCTGGGTCCTCAGCCAGAATGCATGTGGCCTGTGAGTCCCAACAAGGTGCCAGCTCAGGCACTAGAACAGGGCTCCTCTTTATAAAAGCGGGGGTTCCACTGCTAAGGTGGCGTGAGAGAAGGTAGTCTGTCATAAGACGTTTCTTAATTAATGAAAAATCATAGAATGTTGGTACCATTAGGGATTATAGGGGTCTTAGAGTATAGCATGGTCATTTTCAGATGAGAAAACAGCCCCAGCTTTAGGCCCCCAGGGTGAAATAGCTTGTCTGAGGCCCCACAATTAGTCTCTAGCCATTTTGCTATTAGAATTCAGATCTGATTTTTATCTGTTCCTACATCACTTTTATTACATGTTTTTTTATTCGCCTTAGAAATTCAGGTAGGAAGCAGAGTAATTAGCCATTTGCAGACGAAAGAAAAGGCTATTCTGAGAAATTTCCCAGCAGAGGCCACAATGGCCATTGACCTGGGCCTCCTGTCCAGTCTGCTGCCCGGGCGAGCTCTGTCCCATGTCAGACCTCATGTGTCATGGGGTCAGGCTGCAGGCGCTCCGGACAGACTGACGGCTGTGACCTGAGAGTGGAAGTGGCAGGAGAGGAGGTGCCTGCCTGTGTGTTGGTCCCATCACGTTCCAGAGCCAGTGACCCGGGGCGCCTGAGCCCCCTTTGCTGGGCAGTTCCCTTCAGTGAGAAGCGGGTGGGTGTGTGGTCAGCCCTGTGCTGTCTGGGTGGCCTGGTCCCACCCTGCCCGCCAGGCTGATGACTGGGGGCGGTTCGGCATCTCTGAGGACTCCACGTCCTGCAGTGGTTTCTGAGCCACAGAGAAAGCCATATGCAGTGTAGACCCGAGGTGTCTTACTGCAGTCCAGTTCTCGAGAACGAATAACCTGGTAAGGATGCAAAAGTTCCCAGGGACAGGAATTTCTGTCGATCCCCCAGATCCCCACTCCCTGACTCCAGCAGGCCACGGGGTGTCCTGTTGGTGCCCCTCGTGACTGTCTGCCTTGTTCCCAGAGGAGCACATGTACCTGAAGGTCAACAAGTTCCTGCTGTCACATGAGTACTTGAATATGAACAAGGTTCCAGGCTTCTACCAGTTCTTCTACAGCTCGGACTTGGAGGTAATGCTGCTAAGCCCTTACGGTCCCGAAAGCCCTGCTGACCGACCGCTGCTGTCCTGCTGACATGTCCCCGTCAGTGCTTTAGCTGCACAGCTGGCACGACTGCACAGGGTGGAGCTAGGTGGTCAGGGCAGGGAGAAGTTCAGCAGGCTTGCCTGCAGAAATGCTTTTCATTGCGTGCCTTGTTTTAGGTCACTTCTCAAACCTTAAACACTGTCACAGGTCTGAGTTTTGTGGCATTCTTGTTACAATTTTTTGGTGAATCACTGGGTAAATATGAAGTGTGCTTTTTAGAACACCTTGCTGAACTAACTAACTAACACACTTCAGGGTCTCAACTTCACTTGGTCCTTATTCCTGATTTGAAACCGAATCAGAGATAAAATCGAGGCTTTTTAATGACACCCTCAGCCGTGGAGGTCAGGGCTCCCGTACCAAGATCTTCGCCACATGTGCAAACAGTGGTCTGGAGAGCTGTTGGATAAAGGGCTTTAACCTACCTAACAGTGTGTTCTGTCTGCCTGGGCTGTAGCGGAACTCCGAGCGCGAGTGGATCTTTGAAATTCTGCGGCAGGGGATTCGGGACAAGCACTGCTACGAACTCTATGCCAGGCGAGGGGTCTTCCACATCATCCTGTCCTTCTTCAACAGCCCGTTGTGTGACCCGGTGGCACAGGTAGGCGGGTCTGCAAGTGTATTTGGGACTGGAAGGTCTAGGCTCTTTCTGAAGGTTTTACTTGGAAGTCAAGTTCACGTGAATTCTAACCTAGCCTGGACATGACCCACCTACTAAGCTGACATTAACCTGACTTTCAGTGAGGGAAAATGAGATACCATCGGGGCCTGTCCTGCTGCCCGTGTGCGGCCAGGCTGCAGTGTTGACACTGTTGTTTGTCCTCTGGGGAAATGCTCTTTGCGGCCCCCTTCCTGTGTTCCCGCCCCCACACCATGTAACTAGGTATTTTGATTAATTTCTAGCCCAGTCATCTTTTGTTTCTGATATTATGTAAAATATGGGTAAATAGGAGTGAGTCAGGGTTAAGAAACACGTTTGAATAAACTGAATTTGAGTGTGGTAGTTTTTCATTTTTTTATGGCATGTGAGAATTCTAAAGATGCCAATTAGCAGTTCAAGGGACATTCCCATCTTTATGTCTTCCTTTCTAAGTGGGGAAACGGAGGGGACAAAAATGGGCCACCCGCTGTTGATGGCTGGGTCAGCGTTTGTCCCAGCTCTGGCAGCTGCTGACCTGGGCCATGTGGCTTGTGTGCTGCGCCTTTGCTTGTGGGTTGGTTTCTAATGATGGATTAGCAGGAGTGGGCATCCCCCGAGGGCCCAGAAATTGCCGTGGAGGTCTGTGTTCCCTAGCTGTCACCTGTGGGGAAGGACACGTTCCTCCACGGCCAGCCATCATTCTTACAGACTCAGCAAAGCAACATTTGCAGCCACCACCTGTAACCATAGCATACCTTTATATTGTCAGATTGTTCCTTTGATCAAATTAGGTTTTCCCACTAAAGAGTAAATCTTTGTTTTGGACTTTCAGAACTGGGTTCTAGAAATTCTACAGAACGCCGCCCGGGATGCCAAGTCTGCCTATGAGATCCTGCGGGACTATAGCCTTTTAACGTGGATTTTGCATATCCTTGAGAGCAAGTAAGCACCTTGTGCGTGAGAGGTGTGTGTCAGGCAGGAAGAGGGTGGGATGAGGACAGTGGCGTCTACTGCAGGCTTTAGTGTTGACTGGAAATGTCCAGTAGAATACATGTTGTCCGAAACAGTGTCCTCTAATGCCACCCTAAGCCTGTAACCAGCTCCTGCTGATGCCAAAGTGGCGTTTCCTCGCTTTAAATATTTGTGTGTCTTGTGTGAGTGGAATGACAGGTGCCAGCTGCTGTTTGCATTTGCGGGGGCCTCCACCGGCCGACCTTCCATCTGTTCTGCACAGTCCACTCGCCCGCAGGGGCACCAGCCATCTAAGGTTTCGGGACAGTAGCTCTCCAGGTAGAAATAGGCTCCAGCCTCAGGAACGCTTGGTCCCCTGTGTGATGGGCCCAGCTCTCCAGATCGCTCAGGGTCGGGAGTTCAGGGAAGAGCTGCTGCTGAGCCGTGTCGAGTGGACGTTTGTCTTAGTCCTCGGGCTGCCACAGACAGCGTGTTCCAACAGCAAGGGTTAATTTTCTCACAGTTCTGGGGCTTAAGGTCTGCCATTGGCAGCCGTCATGGGCGGGGTCTGGTGAGAGCTGTCTTCATGGCTCACAGACTGCCGACTTCTCCCTACGTCCTCACATGGCAAGGTGAGAGAGAGGGACAGAGCCCTGGTCTCTTTTAAGGACATTAACCCTGTTATGGGGGCTCCACCCTCATAACCTCATCTCAGCCTGAGCACCCCCCAGAGGCCCCCACCTCCAAATACAATCACACTGGGAGTTAGTGTTTCCACATATGAATTTGGGGGGGCGGGGGGGGGTGTGGTAAGAGGACACAATTCAGTTCACAGCATGATCTGTTTTGATTCCTATTGATCTCCTAAGTTTGAGACTGTCTGGAAGGTTGAAGGCCTTCGCAGCAGACAACACTTGGTGGGAGGGATCTTTCTTTCTTTCTTTTTTTTTTTTTTTTTTAAAGATTTTTTTTTAATTTTTTTTTATTGGGGAATTGGGGGCATGGGAACAGTGCTGGGGAATTGGGGGAAGGGGAACAGACAAGTTGCTGTCGTTTTGTTCTTCAATCTAGTTGTGGAGGACGTTGCTTCACTGGCCCAAGTTGGCACCATCATTGTGCTCTTCCCGGGCGAGGCAGATCAGTCGCCGGCTTCTGGACGGCCGCTCACTGCGGCTGCTGGCCGCTCACGCTGGCTGCTGGCTACATACGGTAGCCCATGGCAACCCACTGCCACAGGGGCTGCAGCCCACGCCGTCGCCGGCGACTCATGGCAGCCCAGCTCCAGGTTGAGCTGTTGTTCAGCATCTTAGCTGTGGAGGGCAGTGTCACTGGCCCTCATATGTGGGATCCGAACCGGGGCCCTCTGGCATCCCAAGCGAGCTCCCAACCATCGCGCCACTCGGCCGGCCCGGGATCTTTCTTTCAAAGAACTAACTACTCTACTCAGCCAGGAATGCCCAGGCCCTTTGTGCATTTTTTAAAAAGTATTTTTAAAAATTTCTCTAAAAGAAGTAGTATCCTAAATATAGAATGTGTCTTTGGACATCAGCTTCCAGACTGTTTCCGATTTATAAAAGGCATAATTGGCTAATTATCTCTTCCTGGCTGTTAACTTTAGGTTTTGAAAAGGGAGCTGTTCTCATGAGCAGGGCCTCTTCTCAATGTGCTGCAGCGGCTCCAGAATCTCTCTTTGGGGTGTAGGGTGGCCGTCTGGTTAGGAGGGGCATCCACTGGGGCCTCCACTGTGTTGAAGCTGGGTTCATAGCACGTATCCTTCTTACTCAGATGCTGTGCCCGTTTGGGGGTTGCAGTGGGGGGTAAGCAGATGGGATTGTTGGAGGATGGAAAAAGGCTGCCAAGCCGCCCCGTGGTACTGCCACCACTTGTCACCGTCCTTTCTGTGGCTCCCGCCTACCCTGCCTCCAGCAGACGTCAGTGAAAGGAGAGGATGTGACGAGCGTGAGCATTCTGTGTTGGGTCTTAGGTTTCTGGAGACTCAGATGCTCTCCAGCATCATCTCTTTGCTGCACACCCTGTGGATGACCAATCTGGGAGACAAAGGAGTGGAGTGGGGGAGCCAGCCCCCTCGCCAGCCTGCGCCCCAGGAGCCCCCGAAGCTGCTCGCCCTGCACTTGGTCAATGAGTTCCTTTCTGTCCTCATTGTGCTGACGAAGCACCTCAGGTAAGCCCCTCCCCCGCCAGGCCTGCCCCCGGGGGCGTCACTAGTGGGCGTCACCTCACCTCAGCGTTCCCCTTGGTCAGGGCTCCACGGGTGGGCTCTGGGCCAGAGGGCTGCTGCCATTGTGGGTGAGTCAGGAAACCCGTTTTAGCTGTTTCCTCTGTTCTGCTTCAACTTTACGAGGCTGCTTTCAAGGCCCTGAGAACTCCGCGTACTCTCAAAACTTGTAACGTGTCATACCAGGTCACTTTTAGCACGCAAACCACCTACCTTGATATTTTGATTTAAGCATTCAAAGTGACGTTTTGTAGAAAGAACATATTTTCCATGACCTTAGCCTAAGAAAGTTAGAGTGTTCCCAGACTTGCCTCTGCCTCAGCCTGCACAGATTGATTTGTTCATGAATTTTCTTGAAAACGTCAGTATTTTCATCTGACCCCTGGAATAATGCTCTTGATTTCCTTAGCAGAGCTAAATTCTCCTCAGATTCCACTGTGTCAGGGAAAATACACTGTGTGCACTCGTGTTTCTGATTTGGGAATGGAGGAACGCTAATTGGAACCAGAGGATTGATAGCAAACAGATTGTAATCTCAGAATGAAAACTTTCCTGATAAAGAACAGGACGTGGGGTTTTATGTTGTTCTGAATGAAATTGTGAGATCAGTGCTGGTCGCCATGTTGCTCATTTGAGGATTGTTGAAAGACACATTGGTCTCTGAGAACTGATTGCTATTTGAAATAAGGATTGTAATTTTAATTTTAAGATTGTGTGGAGCAAATGGTGTTGAATTTTCAATTTCTTTGAGTTCAGAGGGGTGGATCGCCTCCCAGTGACCATCGTCAGGATTGGCCGTGGGCGGTGCTGTCCCAGGCGCTTCTGAGTCTTTTCTCTCGAGCCTGAGAGTTGATGAGATGAGAGGAATGGGCAGCCATGAGTGTTTTGTCCGGCGGCTGGCACCCTGACCCTCAGGCTCTCTCTGCCCAGGTGTCCATCAGCGAGGTCTCCAGAGATTTATGTGCCTCTAGGATGGAGTCCGACCCCGGTCCCCTTTCTGCCTCCCCCGGAACGCTCTCTTTCTGCTCTGCGTGCCAGGGGTCCACACTGTTGTCTGTTATAGGGGAAACCTGGTCGTGGAGGGCCTGTTTGCACCTGTGGTCTGTGGCGTTGACCGGCCGCGCCTTTCCGGGGCTGTGGGACGAGGGGGCAGCTGTTGCTCAGTCTGTGCCATTGGCTCCCCACAGGCCCTCCTTGGCCTCCACCCAGCTGACCAGCTTCTTTGGGGCGCTTGACTCCGTGCTGAGGTACCGGGCCACCGTCCTGCAGGCCTTCAAGGACATGGACCGCTTCACCGTGAATGCGACGGTGCTGTCCACCAGGGACGTCCTCATCCTCCTGCACAAGTGGAGCCTCATCGAGAGAGACGTCCAGCTCCAAGAGGACCTGCGAGCAGCCGTGGAGAAACACCAAGTCAAGGAGCTGCTAAGTGAGTGTCAGGAGCCGGGACTCTCTCGCGTTCCCCAGACTGCTCAGTGCCCCCCAGAGCAGCGTCCTTCCCTGTCCAAGCAGCATTTCCAAAGCAGGGGAGGCTTAGAGACAGGGCGTGTCCTTCAGCGCAGCCCCAGAGGGGGAGCCCGGCTTTGAGTCCAGCTCTGCCGCCGTCAGGGAGCTCACCTGTTCGTTAACAGTAATGGTGATCGCAGTCAGATGCTGAGTGCCCACCATGCTGCAGGCGTAGGAGCGTGTCCTGCTGGGGCAGTGCTGAGCGCTCAGCGCCTGGTGGCTGTCCCCTCTCTCCCCACCCCACCACGCAGTCTGTGTGGGAGGAGGGACACCATTCTCACCCCGTTCTTTCTGTCTGTGTAATAGAACTGCTCAGGGATAAGAACAAGCCCGGCGTGCCAGCCCGCGCCAAAGGCCCGCGGGGCCGGAAGAGGCGGCCTGGGGAGGCAGAGGAGGCGGCCGAGCCTGAGCTGCAGGCGTCCAGCCTGGAGACCTGCAGGGGCCTCCTGAGGTCCATATTGACCCACTGGGGGCCAGTGTTCCCCAGCCCTGACCCCACTCAGGAGCCCGTGGACGAGGCTGCCCCCAAGAGCAATGCACTGGGCCTTGTGAACGCCGTCGCCTCCCTGGTGGTCAGCTGGGTGCTGCGGTCACTGGCTGAGCACCCGCTCGGCAGGGCAGAGGCTGCAGGACTCCTTGGCTGGCTTAAGAGCTACATTTTGCCCCAGCCGGTGCTCGTGGCTGACCTTCTCAAGGACAGCACCGTGAAGAGTGGCCTGTTTAAGCTGTACAGCCAGCTCTGCGGAGCCGAGGGGCTGCTGGGGTCCGCGCAGAGTTTGGCCTGCCTGTTCAACATGGTCATGCTGCGATTGGTAGCGGCCCTGGGCCCCCCGAGGAGCCCCTTCCACCCGGCAGTCGAGACCCTCTGCCTCTCTTCCCTGAACAAGAAGGATGAAGCCACGCAAGGTAATGCCAGTTCCCAGGTCTGAGGCGGAGGGGGGGCTGTGGGAGGGTAACCTCTGTTCCTTAGGGCCTCTCGGGTGGCCCCTCGCCACAGTTCTGGGGATCGTGGCGAGTCGGCCACTGGGCCCTGAATGTGAGGGGAGAGGAAGTCTGGTAACACCTTTAGTGACAACCATGTTTACAGTGGAGGAAGGTGCTCGGTTCAGAGCCCCCATCGTGTCCCACCGGGGACCCTCCCCCCTGCACAGCACACACAAGCACACAATGTATGTGCTTGGTGTTTAGCTTAATAAAGGTTTGAGCACACGAATGAATGAACAGCAAAGGCTTTGAAAGGCTCTAAGAGCACACGGGCTTCCTCCACCTGGGAGTTGTCCCTTTCATCGAGGGACCTGAGGGGAGCAGGGGTCAGGGACCGGCCGGCAGCCTAGGCAGGTGAGCTCACCTGGCTGTAGGGGTGACTTGTCCTGTCACCTGGCTGCGCTCGAGAATTGACTCTGCCTGTGAAGCCTCCTCGCGTGTGCCTTTGAGGAAACGGCCTGAAGCAATTCCGTGAAGCTTTTCTCCAGCTTCAGTTCTGGCTCTGGCCGTGGGCGGTCAGAGCCAGGAGAGACTTGGCTTGTAGTCACTTTTTTTACATCATCAAATAAAAAAAATTTAAAAAGAACAAAAAAGGTTAACCCAAAAGTTAAGCAAAGGCAAAATTAATTTATTTTTCCCACTTGCTCACCTCGGCACAGTTTGTTTGGGTGCGTAGCAAAGCCCCGGGTCCCCCTGCGTGCGGGCGGGATGGCCTGTGTTCCGGCTGCATGGAGTGGCATCCTGATGGCCTGTTGTCCTCTTCCTCAGCTACCGCGGCGTTCCTGGTGTCTCTGTACATTAAGGACATCTGGCTGGGGGCCCAGCGGCCAGACACCCTCTTAACCCACGTCCAGATGATCTGTGATGCTGCAGAGGAAGTGCTAAGTGGCGACGAGGAGGCTGTCATTGTGCTCTGCAGGGACATCGCCTCCCAGGCCCCAGACATGTGACGCCCTGCCGGCTGGTGCCTGCAGCACCAGGTTCCAGAAGTTTGAGTCACTTTCCATGGAAGGCATGCAAATGACAAATTCTGTCTATTGACTCAGTTTCCTGACAAGAAAAGTTGACTTTATTTAATTCACAAATAAATCAGCTCAAGGGCCTGTGTGTAGAAGTGGTCAGAGTTATAGTGGGGGGGGGGGGGTCCTTTGGGGCCATGAGGCCCCTCCAGTGTTCAGTCAGGCTGACCCTTCCACTCAGAGGTTTGTGGATCAAAGGAAGTACCTCAAATTGAGGTAACACGCCTGAGCACTTAACAGATTTGTGGACATTAAAGCCAAAGTGTCCAAAAATGTATTAGGTAAGAGAGCATGGCGAGAGTTGTGAAGGTTTCCTTTCTGTATGAAGTCACAACAGAGCTTTGGATAACTTTTTAAACTCATAAGCACCTGCCAGTGTTTGTTAGTTATTTTATGAAATAAAAGGATGTTACATCAAATCCATAAAGTATAAAATTGATTTGACTTCTGCTTTTCAAAGGCAGCCTGTATTTTTAAATTGTGTTTTAAAGAGGGGGTTTTGAATTTTATAACTTATTAATAAATGTCTATTTTTGTTAGGTTTTTGTGTTTTGCTTAGTTGATGTTAACAGGCTATTTTTATTCCACAGAAACCTGCATTTTAGAGGTCAGGATTTGACTTGTACGATTCCGGTATTATGGGTATTGTAGCTGACAAGCATGGAATAGAAATGTCATGGCTTTCACAGATGGAATTCTAGCCTGCTCACGTAAAGCTGTGCATATACCCACGTGCCTCCCACACACTGTGGCTCCCGGTCTGCCCGGCCGTCGTCACATGTCAGTACATTACCTGTCAGCCACCTGGGAGATGGCTGGTTATTAGCCTAGATAATATACACAGCACTGAGAACAGCTTGGTTTTGGCTTCAACATTATTAAAAAAAAAAAAAAAATGTTCTACGTACTTTAGACTCTTTTGTGGTTTTTTAATAACAGTATTCTTAACCAAAACAAGAGTAAAGCTTATCTGCATCTAATCCCCTTACCACAAACAGGTTCATTGTCTGCAAGCATTCACCTCCCCTTCTCTGCATCTCTGCAGCTCAGGCTCCCCTCGCTTTCTCCCCCAAAACACCCACCACAGTTTCTCTGAGAAGATCCTGAAGTCGGAGTCCTACAGGTAGATTCAAGCTGGAAAGGCCACGTGTTCCTTTCTCTCCCCGTTTTTGCATCTCTGCAGCTCAGGCTCCCCTTGCTTTCTCCTAACCCACTGCCCCCGAGTCTGCTGGCGCCAAACCCGGCGCTCACCTTGGGGAATGATTTTTCTGTCCCCTAGTGGGTTTTATGGGCTTTGTAGTGTGGGGCTGCCTGCCTGCCTGCCAGGGGCAGGCTGTTGGGCACTAGAGGACCAGATCTTTGAGGGTCTCAGAGCAGAGGTCACATGAAGTCACACCCAGGATGGGACCTTTTCTACCAGCTTAGAGATGCTCTGCGGCAGCATTTGGAGGCCGATTCTGCCCCCTCAGGCTTAGGCCATGCCTGCTGAGCCTGGCTGCCCCCTCCAGGGGAGAGGTGTCCTTGGGTTCTGTCTTGGAAAGGCTTTGGGGAGGTCAGAAGTGTGACTTGGGTCCCTTGACTGCAGTTGGCTGGCCTGGCAGGACACACAAGGTCCCATTTTGGTTAACGGTGGGCGTTAGTGGGGGTTGGATGGGAAACTTAGGCCCTCCCTGGACGTCCTGAAAAAGGTGCAGATCAGCCAAGTGAACTTAAGCTCGATGAAACATCACAGTAGTAATAGTTGAAGCTAAAAAGTGGCGTAGTAAAGATTAGTGAGTGAATATTTTTTCATCTTATGTATATTTTATTTTTCTACCTTTCCCAAAGCGAACATAGGTAGTAAATCAGGAGGTTTAGTGCACTAAATAAAATCTGCAGTGTTCGGGGCTACTTCTCTGTGCTAAATGGGCTGTGGGAGCCTTGGATAAATGCATGTCGTGTGCCTCCGTGTGGAGTTCTTGACCTCGTTGCACTTCCTGCTACGTGTAAACAAGTTTCCCGAGGGCACGTGTGTGTCCAGGTTGGTTTGAGTTCACCGGTTGACTCGGCAATGGCCATGGTTTTCTGGTGTCAGTTCTGCAGTTGAGAGGCTCTGTCTCCAAGGGGAGGCTCCCTGGGCTTTGTTACTGACATCAGCTGATGCCATGGGGGTCCCCATCGAGGGCCAGTTCTCAGAGGAGAGCAGGGTGGGCCTGGGGAGTGGTGGGGGGCGAGGTGGACGGGCTCTCCTGCTGCAGCTGCTGGTGGGGGCCAGATGCTATGCTGCCTGCTTCCTTGACTGAGCTCGGTGGAGCCTGTGGGGTTGCCCGAGGAGTGCTGTGACGCAGTCGGTGCCTCCGGACGCAGAGCGGGAGGTGGAGGCCGTGACTCCAGGAGCATGTGGAGTGGTGCTGGGCGCTGTTCCTGTGGACAGAGCAGATGGAGGCAGACATCAGGGCTGGCTGGAGAACAGTCCTTTTTGGGGGGCTTTCCTGTTGCACCCTCCTGCCTGTCTGAAGCCCGTACTTCGGGAAGGCGCCCTGGAGTGACAGCACCTCTGCCAGGGGAGCAGACCCCAGGGAGAGCCAGCCCAGCTCACAAAGGTCGCCATTGTGGAAAACTGAGAGAAAAGAGGAAGTGATAGATGGTGACCTATACCTCAGGTCTTTGTCTTAAGGCACTTGTCCCTTGTACGGCCAATTACAGTTGGGGACGGGGGAAGGTTGGGCTTCCATCCATCCATAGATTTGAGTACAGCTCGTCTTGTATCCACACCTCAAGCCAAGTTGTACCTTAGCCAGCAACCCACCCTCTCTGGATGGACTCGCCTGCACTCAGGGTGCTGGGGGCAGTGGACAACCACCTGGATGAGACTACCACCATGTCCCACCTGTCTGCCTCCAGTTTCATCAATGAAACAGGACAGCGATTGCCTCAGATATCCTCAGGGTCAAATGAGGTGATGTACTGATAGCTGTCTAAGCGAGAGAACTATTGGGTTGTCGGAAAAGTCATGACATTTTTTCTCTGTTTTTCGTTGCAAAAATGCGTCATGACTTTTCCAACAACCCCAATAGATAACGTGGTTATGCTAACATGCACATAAAGGGCCAGGACGGCAGGCCCAGGGAGCAGAGCCCTCCTTTCAGATGATGCTAACATGATCTTTTCCCTTTTTTTTTCTTTTTTAGCATGGAAAGAGTGACTCCTTGGGGAGAACCTTGGCATTCTCTTTCCTAAATCTTACTAAGAGCCATTTTGCTGGCCTGAGTATTTCACGTCTGTTACAAAGTGCCTGGAGAGCACTTTCTTTAGGGAGCCATGTGGCCAGTCAGGATAAATAGCTCATCGATTTGTCCTATAAAGCTGTAGCCCAAAAGATGCACGAGACTCCTCTGCCACGGCCACCTGTGTGCCCACCGACTGGAGAGCTTTCCACAGGGAGGATAACTGACCATTCTTGCAAACTCCCTAGCACAGGGCTTGCTACAAGTCGCCTCAAAAGAGCGGAAGAGAAAGGTGATTTTATTAGTGTCTCTCCCAGGTATCTCTTGGGGGTAAAAATCCGCTTGAATTCAATGTGAGTTCTAAAAACTGAAAGAAAAGGATGGATTTCTTCTTCGCTCAGAAGCTGGTCCCTGCCTCCCCTGTGTGACCAAAGGGAACTGTAAGTGACCTGGTGAGTGTAGATCTGATAGATGAGTCCAGGGGTGGGGGGTGGGGAGGGGGAAAGAAGAAACAGGCCCCTTGGGGTAGGTCTGCACATGCGCAGATCCACAGGTCCGCCCCGGACTGGCCGTGGGACCCCATCGGGTAGGAGGGCTGCCCTCTCTGGTTCTTTTGAGGCCTAGAGGCTCCTCATCCCCCCTCTGTCTCTTGGAACATTCTGCTCAGCTCTGTTTGCTGTCAGCTTCCTATGGTGACTCATGGTTTCCATTCCCCAAGATTCTTGATCCCTAATGGTGTCCAGTCCTAGTCTTCCTCCAGGACCCCCCAGTGCTCCCTGGCCCCAGCTCTTCTGCCAGGCCACACGTGCCAGCCGTGGACGGGCTCTCTTTGGGTCAGTTGCCTACCCCTGGTCCCATCAGCTATGGCAGGAATAGAGGCAGCACAGAGTCCCCCATAAGAACAGTCATTAGGACAGCAGTAGCTATTGGGTGCAGATGGAACTAGAAGGGAAAATTGAGTGTGGGGGGCCAATCGTCTAGCACAGAATTAACAGATAACAAGCTAGGCTCAAATTATTACTTGGAGCTCCTAGAGATTTCACCTCCAATTTAACCACTAAGGCACACAGTAGGCATTGAGTAATAGATGGTGGCCTTGGGTCCCTAAGTTAGGGTCTCATTTTCCTGATGCACTGACTGGCAAGACCAAACAGGCATATGGGCTCATTTTGCCTTTATTGTTGTTTTACAGCTTAACTGAGATATATTAGAGTTATAGTAAAGTCCACCCATTTAAAATGTAAAGTTGGATGAGCTTTGGTATATTCAGAGTTATCCAACCATCACCACAATCTATTTTAGAATATTTTTATCCCCAAAAGATGATCCCTATTAGCCACAGCTAATCTGCTTTCTGTCTCTATGGATTTTCCTCCTCTAGATATTTCATATCAATAGAACCACACAACATGTGGCCTTTTGTGCCGGCTTCCTTCACTTAGCACAGTGTTTTTGAGTTCACCCGTGTTGTAGCGTGGGTCAGTGCCTCATTCCTTTTTATGGCCAAATAATGTTCCCTTGTATGGACATAGGATCCCTCACTGTTTAGCCACTGAGTTACCTCCATCCCCACACCCACCTACTTACCGCGCCTGCAGGGAGCCTGACCAGGACATGTAGAGCAGGATGAGGAAGAGAAGCACCACAAAAGCAGCCAGGCTCACCCAGAAGGCAATGACAATCGAATCTGCGGGAGGGAGAGGTGCAGCTCAGTGTCAGTGTCACATCACGGAAACCCACAGGGAGGGACCGGGGCCCCCAGTGCTGTGGAAATAGGGCCCCGTATAGGTGTCCTCTCCTCTCCCAGCTTCTCAGCTGGAGCTGTTGGGAAGATCGCTCATTAACAATAAACAGGGGGCTGGCCGAGTGGCGCGTTGGTTAAGAGCTGGCTTGGGACACCAGAGGGCCCCGGTTCGGATCCCACATATGAGGGCCAGTGACACTGCCCTCTACAGCTAAGATGCTGAACAACAGCTCAACCTGGAGCTGGGCTGCCGTGGGTCGCCGGCGATGGTGTAGGCTGCAGTCCCTGTGGCAGTGGGTTGCCATGGGCTACCGTGTGTAGTCAGCAGCCAGCGTGAGCGGCCAGCAGCCGCAGTGAGCGGCCGTCCAGAAGCTGGTGACTGATCTGCCTCGCCAGGGAAGAGCGCAATGATGGTGCCAACTTGGGCCAGTGAAGCAACGTCTTCCACAACTAGACTGAAGAACAAAAGGACAGCAACTTGTCTGTTCCCCTCCCCCAATTCCCCAGCACTGTTCCCCTCCCCACAATTCCCCAGCACTGTTCCCATCCCCCCAATTCCCCAACAAAAATCTTTAAAAAAAAATAATAATAAACAGGAAGGACCAGGGCAGCAGGAGCTGGCTTTGCCCAGAGCAACTAGCTACTGGGTCAGATGAGAGTGATTGTCCATTGGGGGAAAAGCAGTAGATACAATCGAGTGGCACCCCATGGATTTGCTCCTTTGGCTGCTACTGCTGCTCAGAAGATGGACTTCCCGCCCCCCTGCCTTTTCTCCCTGGGAGGGAGAAGAAAGGGCTGTGGACAGCTTGTGTGACAGGATGGCCTCCCCTCCCCTGTGAGGGCTGCAGCGGCTTTGGTGACCAGCCCCATTAGTGGCAGCTTCAGAGACCCCAAGAGTCAGAGACTTACAAAGAGGACGTGACCATGGCAGAATGCTCTAGACCACGGTGCCAGAGTGTTCCCTTCCCACTGCGGAATTGTTAACCGCGACCTGCCCCGGTCGGCCAGCGCGGTGAGGTGGAAAGAGCTGGTTCCTCCCTTACAGGTGGACAGGCCCAGCTGCGGGGCAGTGGCGGGAGGAAAAGGTGCTTTTGCGGTCACCACTGTGGCTGTATTTGTGGCCGGAAGCTGAAGGGGCAGGGGGCACCCAGGAAACACGCTTAGCCTCTTCTGGACCCTGGGTAGAACCTGGCAAGTCCAAGATGTCATTCTCTGGGGCTGCAGTTCAGGAACATTCGGCAAGTTGCTAGGGAACTGTTGCAATATGGTAGTGTTTCTTGGTGGTCAACTCTGGCTGTGGGACAGAGCACTGAGCTCACAAGTAATGTCTGCAAGTATCTTAGGCACTCTTGAGACCCCAGGACGAGACGCCCCAGTGGGGGATATGCTGGACACCTGCATGTGTGACCAAAGGAACCTGCAGAAGCATAGTAACCAACAGGTACAGGTACAGGTCTGACAATTAAGTTTGTGAATTTTCCACCATGTAAGTGCACAGTGGAAAGTTCGCAAACTTAATTGTCTGCCCTTTGTATTTATTAAGGACTTAGATGAGCCAGACTCTGTGGTGGCTGGTAAGGATTCAGAAGGAGTCAACCTAGCACCCCAGAAATGACGGACGCCTTTCACCTGCACTCTCCTCCCCTACCAACCTCCTCTGAGCTCCTGTAGTGCTTCCTCTGCTAACCCTACCTTACCTCACGTACCTTGTGTTCTGTTCAAACAAAAAGTTGTTTATGAATGAGTGAACTAACAAAGGACCCACTGAACAAATGTCTGAATGAATGAATGAATGGGGTGTTAGAGATTTGTGAGTTACCTGCGGGGTAAATAATGGCATTTGAGTAAAGAGTGTCACCTCTGTGTGCTATGACCCAAGACAGATAGAGGGAGACCCTGAGATCTTGTAGGAGTTGATCTTAGACCCTGACCATGTCAAACAGGATATACGGAAGAGACGCAGTGCTTGCGAAAGGAATCAGAGCCCCCACTGCCTGGTCATGTACCAGCAACTTGGCGTTCGCACTCCAGAGAGGGAAGGACAGCAGGGACCCCCAGGCTGGCTCTCACATCCTCTCCCCTTCCTGTCCCTGAGCTGAGGAACTGACGGTGGCGCCCTAGAGCATTAAACTGTTTAAGGGGAGCGTCTGGGCTCCTAGGACATACAGAATGAGGTTGTTACTGTCTGTCCTAAGCTTAAGGGCTTTTTGAAGAAGCCAGTGACTCCTAGCATTCCTTGTCTGTTCGCTGTGTGTTATTCTATAATACCTGCTTCAGTTCAACTCTATCCCAAAGAGTCATTCTTTCCCAACCCTCAAAGTGTGAGAGTATGTATGCTTTCAGAAAACTTGGTTTGGGATTTTATTCTGTCAGTGTGTTTTAGATTTCTGCAGACACTGATGCTCTTTTTCCCTCATAAGAATAACGCAGGGGGATGTGAGGGCAATCTGGCTGCGACATCTGTCACCCCATTGATCACCAGGGTTGGTTCGGCTGATCTGGTTGGCTAGGCGGGTGTCCCCTTCCTCCCTCACCGCTCCATGTGTGTCCCTCCCGAAGCTGCACGCTCAGTCGAAGAGGACGACCTTCCCCGATAGCGGGGAGGGCCATTCTTTGGTCAAGGGTATACGAGTAGCTGCGCTCCCCTGCTAGAACCTCCAAACAAGCTCTCAAGGTCCATTTGTAGGAGAACATAGAGTAGTCAAGCTTCCAAGACTCCAGACACATCCAAATGAGGCGCTGCATGTGGCAGTCTGCCTTTCTTTAAAAAAAAAAAAAGAATAACACAGGGTTTGAGGGTTTAGCGCCTGGAAAAGTCCTGTCAGAACCCCTAAGGAATAGCTTCAAAAATTGAGCGGCTGAGAACTCCCCTCTCCCCACCTGCCCAGCTTCCAGGCTCACACTTTTCGGCCCCTGCCCTTGGTCATGACCCCCAGATACTGAGCAGGAGATGAGACAACGCTGTTTGCAGAGCACAGTTCTACAGACAAGTGAAATTAAAATTTTGTCAGACCAAAGAACTATGAGTAGCTGTTTTGTGTGTTCAGCTCTCTTTCATCATGTTCTGTTGAAAAAGACAGCCAAGAAAATCGTTCTTTTCCTGCTTCCTACTGAAGGTTCAGCCTAAGTGCTTGGACAGAACATTTTGTCCAAGGGCAGGAGCTGTCATTCCTCAGTGTGGGGAATGTTTAAACATCCGTGGGCTTGTTTTCACAACCAGGCTGGCTGGCCAATGACCCTGGTCCAGCCAGGAGAACTTCCTTTTCTTTCCCTCTCCTTCCCTTTGCTTCCCTTCCCCCCTTCATTCCCTCATTTACTTCCTTCTCCCTTCCCTTTTCTCCTTTCCCCCATCCCTTCTTTCTGTCCTTCCTTTTTGGGTCCATACTGGCAGAAAGAGGGGAGTGAGGCATCCACTGTGGATTGACAAGAAAGGGCTCTGGATGGCATGGTTGGGCTGCATATCACGTTGGGGACTTCTCATCCGAACTTGGGAGTTAGCAAATTAATCCAATTAAAATACTTCCAACTCATAGTAGGCACCTCCGCTTTGTTGAGTGAAAACTGCTAAGCCTCAGTTTTAGCATTCCTCCAAATACTACTCACATTTGAGTCCCAGAGTCCTAGTAGAAGATTAAATCCAAGATTCTCACCTTTTTGGGAGCTAACAATGGGGGTTATGGGCCGAGGCTCTGGAGGCGCATGGTTTTCAGTTTAAATTCTGCTCAGCCATTTCCTAGCTATGTGATCTCAGACAATCTGGGGTTTTTACATCTCTAAATCTGTTTCCTCATCTGTTAAATGAGGATAATAGCATGTGTTACATAGACTACTATACAGGTTAAATACAATAATACGTGCGTATAATACACATTGGCATACTTCCTTGTTTAATGGTTGCAAAATGATGCATAAATAGAACTAAAATAATTTCTCTTCAGAAGATTTGTGGCCAGTGATATCACTGTGTCCTTTAAGCTCACTAAAACATAAGAGATAAGTAAGGTAATTGTGGCATAGACTGCTAGTTGTCAATCATAATATTTGCTGTCATGCGCTTCCATAGTAATAGAACCTCTGCCTTTAGCTGAGCACATTGGCTGCCTGGGATGAAGACTACATTTCCCAGCCTCTCCTTCAACTAGGTATGATCATGTGACAAGGTTCTGGCCAATGAGATGTGAGTGTGGAACCATTACAGGACAGTTTCTTGGAGTCTTTCTACAGACTGCTAAGTTTCTACTACTTTGTGTTCCTTCTTATTTTCTTACCACATTTTGCTGCCCAAAACATGGATGTGATGGCTAGAGCATGGTTTGGAACATGAAGATGAGGAAAAATGTCCCACAGAGCAATGAGCTGGAATGAATCTGGATCATGAGAAGTTTGTGGAGCCAACCTACCACCCCATTCTGCAGACTTTTACATGGGAGAGAAATCAGCTGCTGTTTCATCTGGTGCTCTGTTAATTGTAGCCAATTTTCTTTATTGAATCAGTAAGAAAAAGTAACTTTTTAAATGAATGTTCCCAAACTTACAAATCCAAATGAAGGCTGACTTTCAAAATAATCATCCTTTCTTTACAATAGAATCATATCAATGTTCCTAAAATAAACATATTGATCAAACATAAACATTTATCAAACAGTCATAAGTATTTATAAATTCTTTCAGAATTACTTTCAACAACAACAACAACACACACACACCAATTTTGCTACTTTATGGGGTCATATTTGATTTTTGACCTTGGGTGGTATCAGCCAGCTTAATTTCATTCATCTGATTGGTTTCTTTGTGATTTTTAACTATTTCCCAAAAGCAAATCCACCCTCAGAGATATACACAATTTATCACCTTAGGTATTCATAGAGTGTGCTGTGGCCACCAAAGTCAGTTTCAAAGGAAGAGTTCCAAGCAGTTTTAGGCCAATAATAGAATCTTCCAAGTGTAGCACCTCCACGTGGGGCTGCCTTGATGGGAACTTTGTTCAAGGTAAACGTTCTCTTATCTTTGGTTAAAAATTACTTTCACTGCTATGTCATGCCCAGAGGACTGACCATTTGCTGAAGTGTTAGAAGTCATGGTTAAAGTTGTAACCTGAAATTGATGACTCTAAATGAGAGATAAGAGTTATATAGGTCCTTTGTTCAATCTTTACACTGAATTCTCTGTAGTGTGTTCAGAACAGATTGATTAGTGGTGTGTTGCTGTTTTTCCTCTCCCAGCTCTCAGAGCAGCAGATAAACAAGCTGCCTTCTTATTGAAGCTGCCACAGGCAGTGTGTCAGCAGAAGTCAATATGGGCCATGACAAATTCTTCCTAACCCATAATTAAAGGAAGAAGACATATTGACCCGAAAGGTAAATGATACACAGCATGAAAGCCAGGAACTGCCCAGGGAAGTCAATCCGCGTTGCTATTCCCCGCAAGGGAACATTAGACCAGCGTCAGGAGACCATCGTGTTAGAATAATCTGTGTTGCCGTTGTAAGATTAGATGGGACTGGTTTTCTCCTAAGCTTAGCCTCTGAAAGGGGGTCAAATAAAAGATCACACATGTAATCAGGCAGGTCAGGCAGGGCCCGAGGAAACAGGTCTGCATTTTCCACCACGTTGACAGTGGTGGGGAGATTCTTAACCTTTCTAGGAAATAGAGGCCACCTACGAAACTCACAAGGGTAAAAATCCTTGTCAAGTCTCTGGAACAAAATCGCACCCGATTTCAAGCCATCCCTCGGAAAGGGCAACCCACAGCCTTCAATCAACTCCACACTGAATGCTCCATAAAGACATATATAAACCCCTAGATGTTTCCAGTTTTCTGCCCAACCACGATGGAATAAATTCCAGTGTGTGGACATGAACACAAAAATCTTAAAATCCTTCCCACTTGCATGGTTAACGCATGAGCCCTGGGAATTTTTCTCTCTATTTTGTCTCCTTCTCTAGGCGACACAAAACTTGAACCCAGCCTGGCCTGCAGCATTTCAGCCAGCTGCCCCAGGCGACCTTCTAGTGAGATCTGAGAGAGCTTTGCTCCCTGTCTCACCAAAGCGACAGGCTCACAGATCCGTTCCCAGCATCTTTCTGTCTTTGATGTGCCCCCTGCAGAGAACTGGCATGTGATGCTTCCTGATTTGTTTGACTGGGGAAGAGAAAGTCAAATTTCAGCAAAGAAGGTCCCCTGCTTCTTGTGGAGTGACCTCTGTCCATCCTTCTCCAGACTCGCTCATCTGACCTCGCCTATGAAGTCCTGTGACAAGAGCATCCCTGAGACTGCCTGACACTGCCACTGCCTGACATTGATCACTACAGAAAACAAGTGCCAGCTGTTGAGGGGTAAGGCTGTATGTTGTCAAAGGCCAGCAGAGGGTGCAGGCTCAGTGCCAGCCTGGCGCTGGCCTAACGGGACCATATGCGTGAGCAGGGCCTAGAGGGGAGGTGGGCCTCCAACAGAACCAGTCCAGGTGGGGTTGGTCTCTGAGAACAGGGCCCTTGGGGGCAGCCTCTGAGGACAGCAGGAGAGAGCATCGCCTCTGGTGGGGGGGGGTCTCAAAATGCATCCCACCATTGCTCTTTCAATGCAGCTCTTCAGGCATTTAAACAGATACAGAAGAAAAAAAGACTGGAAGGATATTTTAGCAGGCTAGGCCCAGTAAGGAGATGAAATCACCATAGGCTAAATAGGGGATTATTTAGGTTAGATATGAAGAATTATTAAATGGGACAAAAGAGTGTAAGATATAAGGAAACTCTGAGGCATCCTAGGGCTGAGGGAGAGGACCCAGGTGTATCAGTTTGCTCAGGCTGCGCTATGGTTTGAATATTTGTGTCCCCCTCCCCGCCAAATGCATATGTTACATCCTAATGCCCAATGTGAGTTTGGGAGTTTGGGGAGGAATGTCTTATTTGACCTTGTTTCTACACTCACCAGGCTGTAAACTTCCAACTCTAGTTCACATCTGCAAGAAAGAACATCTTTTCAAACCTCACACGCAGCTTAGAGAGAGCATCAGCCACTTTTCCCAGAAGTGGATGTTGTCTGTGGGTAAAGGTGAGGGCAAAGGTTGAGACTGTGGGTTCTAAGATTCTAAAGTGGCAACCAGTCCCCAACCCAAAGCAGCGAGGAGAAGCTTTGGAGCCGAGGTGGTGGCAGAACAGGATGTCTGGCAGTGTCTGAGTCTGACCCAGAATTTAATTTAACTAGTGTTAATTTAAAAAAGACTTTCCTGAATGCAAATCTACATTTTGTCCAGACCAGTCTGCCTCCTGAAGTTCTGAACTTTGGACAATACATATGAGTGGGCTTTTATTTCAACCTGCCACTTGCTCCCTATTACTATTTGTCTTCCTTATTGTGAATTGTATGTGCAAAAATCTGCAATTTAATTTCTTGATTATATATACCTTGCATCAAAAAAACACACTCCAAACCTATTGAACCCCCAAAAGCTGTAGTATGGTGCTGGGGACATAGTAAGTCCTTAGTAAACATGGATGGGTGTCTGCACTTTGGGACATTGTAAGTGGAACTGGAAATGGGAACTCTTCCTAACAAGACATCCTTGGGCTCTGGCCCCTTTTATTAAACAATAACATCTAAATGGATTGCAGTGTTGAGTTGGTGTATAGCAGACCATCTTTCTTTACACATGAGAAGCATCCTGTTCTTTTAGTGACTGCATTTACTTTTTTTTTTTTTTTTTTTAAGATTTTTATTCGGGGAATCGGGGAGATGGGAACAGTGCTGGGGAATTGGGGGAAGGGGAACAGACAAGATGCTGTCGTTTTGTTCTTCAGTCTAGTTGTGGAGGACGTTGCTTCACTGGCCCAAGTTGGCACCATCATTGCGCTCTTCCCAGGCGAGGCAGATCAGTCGCCGGCTTCTGGACGGCCGCTCACTATGGCTGCTGGCCGCTCACGCTGGCTGCACACGGTAGCCCATGGCAAGCCACTGCCACAGGGGCTGCAACCTATGCCCTTGCCGGCGACTCACAGCAGCCCAGCTCCAGGTTGAGCTGTTGTTCAGCATCTTAGCTGTGGAGGGCAGTGTCAATGGCCCTCATATGTGGGATCCGAACCGGGGCCCTCTGGCGGCCCAAGCCAGTTCTTAACCATCACGCCACTCGGCCGGCCCCTGCATTTACTTTTTGACAGACATATCAGGTATAGTGAAATAACCAAGAAAGCTGCAACTTTGGGATGGGCAGTGCCGAGACCTGGTTTTTGTTTTGTCTTTCATGCTCATTTCTTCAGCTAACTTGTTATCTTGATTGAGTAGATGGAATAATCAGAGAAGATTGTTCACAAAAGTACCATGTTACCCAAGAGATAAAGACGGGAAGGAAGATGAGCAAAAGGATGTTAACTCATGCCGGTGTGTCCTTCCTGAGACCGTGACGATTAAATGTCGGTTGGTATTTTAATAGAAATTATTGAGTCATACATCTTAGAGAAACGACAAAATAACTCTCTCCCAAATCGGCACACAGACAACAGAAAACCCGAAATCTACAGTGGAAAGAAACTCATCTCCCTTTTTGGAAGCCAGACAAATGAAACTCCCAAGAAATCTATCTTAAAAGCAGATAGAGTGTCTACCTGCTCCCAGAGTGTCTTGGTTTCTTAGGAGGTTAGTTCCAAGCTTATCACAGACGATAACAGATACCATTTTACCCCCGTGCACTTATATCTCCTAGTGCAGGATCGAGTTCCAGTTTCACCGTGACAGCTGTTGGAGTCAGCAAGTGAATGGAGAGAAAATCAGATGGACCAACCCCCAGCCTGTGCCTGGCCGGCTTCCCCAGGTCAGGACTCACGTTTGTTGGCTCTCAGCTTCTTCTCATCGACCGGAATGAGATCCAGGTAATCCAGGTAGTACTCATAGCTGTAGTACAGGGCGGAGGCGTTGGTCCTGTTGGCCATGTCTGCGGCGCTGGGGGGCCGCGCATCAGAGCTCGTCGGCCTCCTCCTCAGAGTCAGCTGGCCCACTGATTTCCGTAAAATCCTCCAAGTGTGTCTGTGGGTCTCCAGGCTCAGGGCCTGCCCATGTGTGAGAGCCATTGGCTGGAAGAAAGGTCAGGGGCGTGTGCCTGATCGTCTCAGCACGCACGTCGAGCTCCCCAGCCTGCCCCTTCTTGATAAAACTCCAAAACAAACAGAGCTGCAAGGCTGGAGACCGTGTTTCCAGGGCAGCGCTAGGTTGCCCCTCTGTGTAAAGACAGGAAGACGGATACCTGGGGTCCCTTGAAAGATGAGACGGCAAACAGGGCTAGAAACGACAATCAACTTTTGCCTTAAATACTTAAAAAGTGAGTGATGCCAAAACGAAGGGCTGGCGGTGCCCTTGGCTTACATGAAGGCGGTACTTGGTGCCATGAAGCAACCGGCAAATCACTGGCTTAGATTCATTATCCGAGGGCAGAAATTGAGTGATGTCGGCTTTGAACTTGTAACCTCTCTCATGTACACACAGCCAATTCATTAAACCCAAGGAACCCCCCTCCCCAATTGAGCACACCTCCCAGCCTTTAAGCCCCCGAGAACCAACTCGTCGGCTGCATTCGTTCAGACTGACGAGGCTGTTTGTCTGGGCCAAGATCCCACATGGATTGAGCTCTTGGGTAACAGGGCCCCAGGGTTCACCGAGCCCTTGGCTGACGACAAGTGTGACAAGGATTCTTCTGGGTTTCTGTAGGGCATGTCTCCAAGTTATACACTCATTTTTCTTAGAGCCACAGACGCAATTAAGAGGAACATTTCAAATATTTGGAATGAGTAAGACTAAGTGTGAGAGCAGTCCTAGGATTTAGCCTTTGAGAATTAGTTAGGAAATTAAAACACACAGAATTATGGGACTTTTCCTTCAATATACCAACTTCCTAGTGTTCTTGATTCACGTCTACACTGTCAGAGTCAAGGTGAATGTGGACAGTGTAGACAGGCTCTCTGCTGGCTTTGATCCTGTACACGCAGCCCTGTGTGCCTGAGGCATTCTGTGGGGACCCCAGAGTGCTCCCAGGCTTCCAAAACAAGGGGTGAAATTTCCACTTGACGACGCACTCCCCGCAGCCTGCGCACACCTGTGCACATGCCTCCCAGGTGTACTTAGTTAAGGGGCAGGAGGGGGAGGGGGTGCGAGCATGGGGTCTGCGGCCAGACAGCCTGCTTCGAATGCTGTCTGTACCAGGAGGATGGCCCTGGACAAGTGACTTAACCTCTCGGCCGCTGGTTTTCCTCATCTGTGAAATGGGCATGACCATCACCTGTGTCTCCCAGGGGGGTTGAACATCCAGCACTGTATTTGCAGCAGCACCTTGTCCATAGAAGACACCCATTCATAGAAGCTGTTTCTGTCACCTGCCAGCAAATGCGACCTTTCTTCCTACGGCACTATTTTTCTTTTCTCATTGCTCACTCTCCATCGTGCCCATCTCTTCTATCGCTGCTTTCGCCTCCTCTCTCTCTTAACCCATTCTATCACTTCCTGTGTACGACGCCAACCTTGGATGCAAACAAATCCCCTTTATTTCTTGCCTTCATCTATTCATGTTCTGCAGCTCCCTGTTTCCCCTTCTTGGAGAACCTCTAGTAAAACTTCTCCCAACCTCCATCTCCCATCATCATCTTCCAGCATGTGCCTGCACCCATGCACATGTGCATACGCACACACGCACACACGCACATGCATACACACATGCATACATGCACACACACATGTATACACACATGCAAATACATATGTACATGCACACACACACACGTACACCACACACACAGGAATATTCTTATAAGGAATTGACTTATGTAATTATGGAGGCTGAGACATCCCACAATCTGCTGTCTACAAGACGGAGACCTGGGGAAACCAGTGGTGTAGTTAGAAGGCCCGAGCCAGAGAGCCAATGGCGTAGACTCCAGCCTGAGCCTGAGGGTCTGAGAACCAGGCAGGAGAAGACCAGTGTTGCAGCCCAAGGAGTCAGGCAGAAAGCGAATTGGACATTTTTGTTCTATTCAGGGCCTCAACAAATTGAATGATGCCCATCCACACTGGGGAGGGCTATCGGCTTTCCTCAATCCACTGATTCAAATACTAATCTCTTCTGGACACACCCAGAAATAGTGTTTAACCAGGTAGATATCTGGGCATGGGTATTCTTGTCAAGTTGACACATAAAGTTAACCATCATATCTTCTTTCCTCCCTCCGTTCCTCCCTCCCTTCTTCCCTCCCTCCCTCCCTTCCTTCTTTCCTTCCTTCTTTCCTTCCTTGTTACATTTTCCAATTGAACATAATTCCATTTGTTTGGAATTTTCACTTCTACCTGACAAATCACTGATTGTTAAAATGAGTTTATTGGTCTGATAATAATCCTGACTTTAAAATACCCATAGAAGTTCCCTGGTAGAAAAACAAATTAAAAAAAAATCCCCTTTGACATTAGTAAGAATACTCCCATGAAGGTCAACTCTCTGAGATAATAATGACATATTTATATTAACAAATACCTCAAAGACCTTGACCGTAAGCATTGTTTTTCTTCCTACTTTAATTTATAACCCAAAGCTTGAAGGTGACGTTTTTATTTTTTTTCTGGGGTGTTTTCTTTTACAGGAAATGTACACACTGGTTAGTTAATTGTGACCACAGATGGAGTAGAGGGGGCAAGGTAGAAGGCAGAGATCTAGAGAGGGAGGAAAGCAAACATTTACTGAACAAGGACCTGAGCGAGCCACTGTGTGTGGCGCCTTACGTCACTCTCACAATACCCCGTAGGTGTTGGCAGCCCCGTTTTCCAGGCAAAAAGCTGGGATGCAGGCCGGTGGGGCAGCCTCCATGCTCTGCTCAGTACCTGGGATCTGCAAACTGGGGTGTGTTAGTGTCCTGTGGCTGCCGTAACAAATTATCACAGACTTGGTGGCTTAAAACAACACGGATTTATCTTACAGTCCTGGAAGTCAGAAGTCCAAAATGAGTTATATGGGACTAATATTAAGGGGCTGCCAGGGCTGGTTCCTTCTGGTGGCGTGGGGGAGAACCGGTTTCCTTGCCTTTCCCAGCTTCTGGAGGCTGTCCTCGGTCCTTGGATCATGGTCTTGTATTGCATCGCCTTTTTCCCCAGCTTGATTTCATTGTCACGTGACCTTCTTCTTCTGTAGTCAAATCTGTCTGTTCCTACTTCTTATAAAGATACTTATGATTACATTGGGCCCACCCAGATAATCCAGGATAATCTCCCCATTTCAAAATCCTTAATTTAGTCATATCTGCCAAGTCCCCCCCGTTGCCACATAAAGTAACATTCACAGGTTCCAGCGATTAGGGTGTGGAGGTTTTGGGGGGGCTATTATTCAGCCCACCACAATGGGCAAACAATGTCGTGTTGTGGATATACAAGTCCTTAAAATAAATACAGTAACTTTTTTTTTGGTAAAAGTTACATTTTAATATTGAAACAAGCATAGGTATATAACAGAGTAAATGCAAAATTTGCATGGCTTTTTACAAAAATAAAATTTTTATCATAGACAATTTCAAACATATGCAAAAACAGCGAGAATATCACATGGATTAATGAAACTCCATGTAACCACCACTCCACTTGAACAATGATCAGGTTGTGGCTAATTTACTTTTATCTACATCCCCATTCACTCCCCCTATTCTGGACACTGTGAAGAAAATTCTAAATATATCATTTTATCTGTAAATATTTCAGTATATATCTCTGAAAGAGGTTTAAAAAAAAAGCCAAAACCATAATCCTATTATCCCACCTAAAAAGTAATGCTAATTACTTAATTGTACTAACTATCTAGCCAATGTTCAAATTTTCCGTTTGTCTCATGATTTCTTTTAATAATTAATTTGCTCAAATCAGGAGCAAATAAGATACATGCATTGCAATTGGTTATTGTGACTCTGAAGTTCTGTTAAATGTATAGTTTCCCACTCCTTCCTATTCTTCTTCTTCTTTTTTTTTGTTTGTTTCTTTTTTGAACTTGTAATTTATTTGCTGAGGAAATGGGTTATTTACTCTGAAGGGTTTGCCAGCTGGATCCCATGGTGATGGTAATCATGCTCTCCAGGCCCGGTATTTCCTGGAAAGTGAAGTTAGGTCTAGAGGCTGAATCAGATTTTGTTTTTTTTTGTTTTGTTGCATCTCAGAGTGGTGCGGTGTCCTTCCCTCCAGAGGCACATAATGTTTGGTTGTCTCTAATTTTTGTGACATTACCACCAGTGATGATCATGGCTGACATCCTTCAATGCCTTTAGCTTGTAAACATGGTGATCTTCTTACTCCATCATTTCTTCCTCATATTAGCTTCTGTCCTTCTAAAAAGAAAAGAAAAGAAAAGAAAACAAAACAAAACAACCCTTCCTTCCTAACTATTTGGTTACCTGAGTTGAGGTACAATTTACATCAGTGGGGAATAAATATTTGATTTACTTTGTTGCCAGTTTTCAAAATAATGATTAGGTTTTCTGGCATTCTCTGACAGGAAACAATAAAAAGTTAAAAAAAATCATTATGTGCATTTAAACCTATTTGATGCGTTCCAATCCATCTTTGCTATTATCTTTTTTTTTTAAAGGTTTTTATTGGGGAATTGGGGGATGGGAACAGTGCTGGGGAATTGGGGAAGGGGAACAGACAAGTTGCTGTCCTTTTGTTCTTCAGTCTAGTTGTGGAGGACGTTGCTTCACTGGCCCAAGTTGGCACCATCATTGCGCTCTTCCCTGGCGAGGCAGATCAGTCACCGGCTTCTGGACAGCCGCTAACTGCGGCTGCTGGCTGCTCACACTAGCTGGTGGCTACACACGGTAGCCCATGGCAACCCACTGCCACAGGGGCTGCAGCCTAGCCATCTCAGGCAACTCCAGGTTGAGCTGTTGAGCTGTTGTTCAGCATCTTAGCTGTAGAGGGCAGTGTCACTGGCCCTCATATGTGGGATCCGAACCAGGGCCCTCTGGCGTCCCAAACCAGTTCTTAACCATCGTGCCACTCGGCCGGCCCTCATTTTGTACCTTTCTTGTCCCAGACCTTGAATTCATCCATTTCTCCAAGG